TCCCAAAAAATTCTTTCATGAAAAATCTATCCAGAATTCAAATAAAATTAATGAAAGATTTTATTATTTATAAAAAAAACTATCAATGTAAAAAATATTATTTTTATAACTTCTTTTATAATTTTAAATTTTTTCTTTTATAATTTTATTGAAAAATTATATTGAAAATTATATTTGAGCTGTATTATTTTTTTAACATATTTGAATATTGTAAAAATCACATATTGATGAAATTTCCAATATCATTACTATTACAATAATATAATTTTAAGATATTATTACTACATATAAATATATAAATATATATTAATTTTGTTATTAATTAAGAATTACACATATCAATGGCAATTTCATTTAAATTAATAATATATAAAGTATTATATCAAAATATAAAATTAAGTGAAATAAAATTTTCAATTCTTACCACATCATACTTTCAAAATAAGAAAAAAGTAATCATCCATTTCTCTCTTTAATGGACTTGCAGAACAGATTTATTCATACAATGATAATACTTAAATCTATCACTTAAGCATTCCTTTTCTTTCTACGATAACTATGAAAACACTATTTCACTCTAAATAATGAAACTATCTTAAAAACTCTCTCGAATATACGATCATTCAGCATTACATTGTACGTACATACGTACTACTATTACTCTTTCCTGGAGTTCCATATGTTCAATCCTTTCTATTCAACATACTTTCGACAATACGTTCACCCACGGATTAAACGAGGGCCACTATTTTTAATCCCCCTTTACCCTCCTTATTCAAAGCTGAAAATTTAAAACGTTGATACGGGCTCGTGTGCAAAACGAACATCCTTTGCCAAAGATATTTTATTTCGATTCCTCCTGTTTCTCTTAATACCGCTAAGAATCGTGCACGTACAATCATTAAGCTTCGATCATGTAATAATGAGAAATGTTAGACACTGGAATTATCGCGTGTCATTTGATATGAGTGCGTTGCATCAACTCAGGTTCTTGCGATAAAGTAATAACAGATGAAACAGGTACGTTTCTCCTCTTTCTTGCATTATTAACGTCAGAATGAGTGATAGTTTGCAAGCAATCGAAGAAACGAACGATTTATAGAGATTTATTGCAGATGATTTATCATCTTATTTCTTGTATCCCAATATATTTTTTGCTCTATTAATATAACATGTAATCTTTGAAATTTTAAATTACAAATTCTCACATATTTATTATATTTTTTTCTTAAAAAATTTATATCCATTATAATATAAAATACAAATTTTCATATATTGAGAGTATATATTATATTTTTTTCTTGAAATTTATATTCTATACACTATAATATGAATTGGTAAAGTAATATTTTATTTTTTAATTTTTGAGGCATAAATCTTTAGGGTAAAGAGAATTGCAAATTATACAGAAATTTTGAAATAATACTACATTTTTAACAAAATATAAAAAATATTTCAATTGGAAAATCATATAAAACGATCAGAATTAAAAAATAGATTAATGTGATATTTAACTATGAGATGGAATTATGAACAATTCAATTATATAATTATATACTTTTAATTATTTTAATTTTTCAAAGAGGAAAGTTGAAAAACGCGAATATCAGAGTACTAAAAAGTTAGAATATTTTTTAATCCATTATAAAGAGCTAATAGTTTATTAAAAATTATGAAATTACTTTTATATATTATTTTATGATATTTCATTAATGTATATTGCAACATTTTGTACTATTTTTATTGATCTGCACAATATTACATACTAATAATATTATATCATATATTTCTTTTTCTTTCTTATTCTTATATTTTCAAAAATGGTTTATTAAAAAATATGAAATTATTTTTATCTATGATACTTTATTACTATATCATATAATTATTTATGTATTATTTTTATTGAAATATGAATAACATTATACATTCTTTGAAAGAAATATAACAATAATTATCACTGCTTTCCTAATATCATTGCACAAATAAAAATCCAAAATATCTTTCATTTTCAAAATCAAAGTGTTTCATAATAATTATCACAAATAATGCATCATAATATTATTATAGTACAAATCATACGAGTCTTATCATTTTTCATTCGTTACAAAATCCTTACATGAATTTTTCAAAACGATGACTATCTCGTCATTCTCAAAATTAGGCGTGCAATGGATGAAATTCCCGAATCTGGAAAAAGTTGGCCTTAAATATCGATTCTACGAGCTACGTTTTATTACCTTCTTTCAAGAGGGCGCTCATCAAGGAGGCACAAAAGCTGGACGAAAAGTCGTCGAATCGGAATTAACTATCAAATTTTGCAGATACAGCTCCGCCCAGATGGTGTTTACTTTCCAACAAAGTTTCCATCGAACGGCCTTTCCTTTCTGCAACCCCTGCGCGAGTTTTCAATTCAACCCTCAACTATGTGGCAACTACAACCGAACTTTATTTGCCAACACTCTGATAGATGAAAGATGAACATTTTCGGTCATTTAACATTTAACTTTTTTCTTTTTCTTTTTTTTTTCTTGCTAGATAATAACTGCAATTACAATTACATACATCGAGTTATCGTTAATTCTCTCGATTTGTTTTATTTTATATTTATTTTTCTATCATTTTTATTAACAATTTTTTATACAAGATATGTCAAATAAAAAGTGAGCTATTTTCTTCAGAATTAAATGAAGTTATCGATTTCATTTGAGTTAAATACAGTAAGATATTGTAATTAGTTGAGGAGATTAGGAAGAAAAAGACATTTTTTCAATGAGAATCGATATTAATTTTGTATTTTTGAATTTTATATTCTTCGAAATGAATAATATTTATTTGAATTATCTTCTGAAGAAAACAGCCCACGACTTTTTATTTGGCATACCTTGTATAAAAAAAAATATTGATGATATTATCAATAAAAATGATAGTTTGAAGAGAATTGCAACGAAATATTTCTTTTAACTGAAAAATATTAGTAGAATAATGTTATTCTAATAAATGATCCTTGGAATATTTATTAAGTATTTAGAAATATCTTCTTAAATACTTTATAATATTAAAGGATAAAAATATATACTCCTTGTCCGTTGATTATTTTTTTGAAAGAATTTTTTTAAAAACTAATAATAAATGATAATTCTTTGGTACTATAATTGGATTTTTAAAATGACAATACTTGTAATCTAATATGAAACGATTCATGTGTAACAATTACATATATTCAAATAAATGAATTAAAATCTATTTCTTCAAAAGATACACACAAGTATGTATCTTTTTCAACTTCGTTTCAGAACCAATTAAATCGCAAATTTTTTTATCGATCATTATAATAATATTTTCCAAGAATTCCTTTCAAGATACCATGTTCTTTTATAAAAACCAAATAAGCTTTGATCTCGTTTCCTTCACATAATTATATAAAAATAGATTTTCAATAGGATACAGAACTTAGAGAATAAGATGAAATCGTTAAATTACGGAAATATGGAAATTTTAAATTTTAATTAATAGTATATTAAAATTGAAAATAATTTTTTTCTATTTTCCTTAATGAAATGATTTCATAATTTCAGAAAGAAATACAGAAACTTAATTCAAAACTTAAATCTCTTTAAAAATATCGATATTTAAGTAATGACAGAAATATAATGACAATCAAACAAAACAATACATCAAAGAAGAAAAAAGAGAAAATGAATAAGAAGAAAAAAAAGATTCATCAATTTGTTTATTTTTTACGCTAAAAATCATATCCTTGCTAAACTCATTTAATCCTTACAAAAGAATCAATCTCACTTCAAATCGAATTCAAAAAACGAATCAATAAATCAAAGAAAAAAAGAGGAAAAAGGAATAAAAAAGGATCCATTTATCTCTTTCCTACACTAAAAACTATTTCCTCAATTCCAATCTAAAAACAAAACAAAACAAATAAACCTATCGAAAAAACAAAAAAGGAAAAGGAATACAAAAAATCAATTTATTTCTCTGTTAAAAACTACTAACTTCATTAAATTCATTTGCTCTTCGTTTGAAAATCAATCTCACATATTCACGATTTATCTAATTTTAAAAATCAACGAATTGAAAAATGAAGAAAGAATAGAATAAATCCATCCATTTCTCTCTTTATAGATAAAAATCTGTAAATGTATTAATCTTCGTTCGTTTGAAATCTTATCTCATCTATTATTTCAAATCCAAAAACAAATAAAAAACAATAACTAAGATAAAAAAGAATTCATCGACTTTTTTTTTCCGATGTTAAAATTGCATCAAATTTAATTTCACTTAATCAAATCGTTAAAACTCAATTCCATTTCAACTCTAATCCAAAAACGAATCAAAAGATCAAGAAAAAAAAAACTAATAATAATAATAAAGAAAGAAAGAAGAGAGAGACTGAAAAGAATAAAAAAAAAGAATCCATTTCCCTTTTCCTAAAAAACTGAAACCGCCTTAAGCTAATCACTTGAAATTCAATCTCATCAGCTTCAAAATCGAAAAATGAACCAAACCAAACCAAATCAAATAAAAAAAAACAAATCCGCTTCTCTTTTGAGAATCCTAAAAATTTTTAATTACTTAAAAATTCAATCTCCTCGATCTTCCCCAAAATTCGAAACTCCAAATCGAGAAAAAAAAGCAAAAAAAAAAAAAAAAAGAGAGAGAAAGAAAAAGAAAAGACTTTGAAAAGAATCCATTCACTAGTCTTTCCTCCTCCACGTTAAAAACTTTCGACCCACGAAATTTTTCCCTCCGATGGCCATCGCCATTTTCTTCGCGTCTAGCCACCCCCACCCCACCCCTACCCCACTCCCAACCCCCCCCCTAATTTCTGGCTTCCGATTTCGATGGGAACTTTCGTCCCTGAAACTTGCATTTCCCCGTCTCGGTCGTCTGGATGCTTGGAACAGGAAGAAGTCCGTCTCGGGGTCGGTTTGGATGCCGTAGCTCTGGGGCGTAATATTGATCATGGCGTGGGTGGCCTGCACTAGGGAGGGGGAGGAGGATGTCTGCGCGATCCCCCTTACTCCTCCTGCATCCAGTCGCAGCCTGCACCCCTGCTACCTCCTCCTCCTCCTCCTCCTCCGGCCTCTTCTCTCTTCGGGGGTGAAGTCGTCGGGGAGGAGGGGGTGAAAGAGGGACTAGCTGAAGCGTTACAACGGGCCCACTCGTTGCATACGCTCCTCGAATCTGTAACGGGTGGCCATTGAATAACACGAAAGACGAGGGAATTATTTTTGCTTGTTTCGCTAGAGTTTAGAGTGGATTTTTGATTTTTGATGATTCAATAACGATTATTAAAAAAGTATTTTTGTCAAGGTAATCGTATAATCGTTGAATGATCGTCAAATAGGGGAATTGAAAGGTTGTTGAGGAGTTGAACAGTGATGATCATTGTGATTTTTGTAATTATTTAATCGTTGATAAAAAAAATAATCGTCGAGTTGTTTTCGTTTGGAATTGGATAATGATCGAATGATTGTTGAATACCGCGAATTTTAATCATTATCGATCGTTGTTCGTTCATATAAATCGTATCTACAAAATTGATTATTAAAAATAATTGTTGAATAATTGAGGGATAGGGAATTTTTAACGATGTTGTCTTCGTTAAAAATTGGACAATAACCTGTAATCATGACAATTAAAAGTAATCGAATAACCGAACGATAGAGAAATTGATTTTGGTCAGAGTTGGACAATCGTCGAGCAGATTTTAATCTTTCGTTAACAATCGTTGAATGTACGAATTTCAATCGTTATTGTAATTTCACTGGTGAAAGTGATCGTTGAATTATACTTGAACGATAGGAGAAATTGTTTTTGTTCAAAGTTGGACGATTAATCAATCTCAATCGAATCTCTTATGAAAACTACTTTCTTTAAAAAAAAAACTATTTCTCTATTGCATTCCTCTTTCTCTCGCAATTCAATTACATTTTCGCTATCTTTAATCTCTTATACTCAATATATATATATATAATATACTCATATATATATATATATAATATACTCATATATTATACTCTCTATAACTCACCTGTGGCATGACGCTTCATATAATTAATAAATTAATAAATCAAAACCTGTGAATCATACTTTTACTTTAAAGTTTATTTAAATTAAATATCTCAATAAATGGGATCTTCATCCCAATTAGGACTCTAATGTCGAGCTAGACTCGATATTATACAACGCAGTTTCTAAAATAATTTAAAATTTTTTTTTCTTCTTCTAAATACTTAATTAAAGATTAATTTATCATATTTTGCCATTTTTACACAGTTTTAAATTGTTATTATTATAATAAAATCAAAATAGTTATTTGAGCTGCCTTGAATGTAAGTGTGCTACGTGTTCAAAAAAAGAACGTGTTTTTTCGTGATGTTTCATATTTTGTTTACATAAAAACAATATCAGTGTTATTAATTAAAATTATTATCGTAATAATAATTAAACTGTTACATTGTTTCATTTGTTTTATGTACTAAATAATATAAAAATAAGGATGCCTCGAATAAAAAGAAAACAACCAGTAATTAATTGAGTATGAAAATAGTGACTACGAATATATAACTCAAAATATGTACAAAATTTATATGACAAAAATGTAACGTATAAAATTTAGAGAAAAATTATTGATGAGCCTAATCAAAGATTTTCGTGTTCCTATACAAAAGCCCAATTTACAGATGATAGTATTCAACATTAGATGGGAAGACTTATTTTATTTTTTCTCATAAAAAACACAAAGATTGTATGGTGTGTTCCAATCGGAAGATCAAAGGAGGAAGGAAAGAAACAACATTCTATTGTGATACTTGTGATAGGAAGCCCGGTATTCATCCAGGAGAATGTTTTAAAAAATTTCATACTTTGAAATTATAAAATTATAAATAATTCAAATAAATTGAATATATATATTATTTATTAACATATTACTTAATTAATATAAATGAAAAAAATATTTGTTACATATTTTGCACCATTTCACACAATATTTTATTGAGACCTTCTTTTTAGATCCTTTTTGTCCTTTTAAATGAATTAAAGAATTATTGCTAAGTAAAAAAAAAAAAAAAAAATTAAAAGCATGCAAAGGATTAAAATCTCGAAGTAAATATATTCCTTAATTGTAATCGTTGAATGCGAAAAGTGTTGTACAAGTGTTAAGAAAATGCAAAATGTTAAAATTTTTAAAAAATTACCATTTATTTCAAATAACATAATAATAAATAACATAGCCAAAATACTTATTTTAACAATAATCAATATAGTTATACAATAATCAATATAGTTATAATATTTATAGTTTTACTAATAATTAACAATAATTAATTTGGATAATACTCTGTTAGAAACACGAAAAAATGTTGACAATCTCTATATCTTTAGAAAAATAATACTTTGATAATAGCATTGATTTACAAATAATAATCTATAAAGAAAAAGAATCTTACGATTAAATGTTTTGCTCGAAAAGAATCTTCTTTTTCTCGCGTCCTACGGTATTCAGTACAATTTCATATCGGGTTTAATGGAAAATATCGAGCGATCCTGCCGTAATAATTTATTTTTACGGAAGTTGCCGACTGTTCATCGCTCAACGCTCGTGTAAACGCAGTCAACAAACAGCAGTTTATGACCGTAGTAGAACGGACGAAGCGGCCAAGTTCCGCATGCAAATAACACCGTGCGCGAAATTAATATGGATGTTAAAAGCTGTTACACGTATCGCTCGAAACGAATCGAGATAAACGAAATTACTGCAATCCCAAGCGTCTGCGCTGTTCGTCGATTCATGGGGGGAGAGGGGGGGGGGAAGTAGAAAGATAAAATTTATCGCCCGGTGAAAGTGAAAAAGGATGGTTGGAACGTTCCAATTTTGCCAATTGTGCGTATACGCGGGGAAGAATTGATAAATAAGTAAGATTGGTCGATACACGTTCGTTTATTATTTAAAAATATTTCTGAATATTTTTGCGATATGATAGATGGCGGAGAATTCAAAATTTTTATTAATGGGATAATATCGATGGTATAGTAAGGAATAATAAAAGGTTAAGAGATCTTCGAAATCAGAATTATTATAAGAATCAATTTCGATCGTGTTTCTTTTTCTTTTCATTGAATATATGATGTTACCATGTTAGAATTTAAAGTTTATATTTCATTAATGATATTTGTTACTTTAGAATTCAACAGAACAGGCGGGATATCGTATTTAAAATTACAATTTTTATTGGCTGTAAGAAATTGAAAATATATTTATTCTGAATTTCGTTATTTTAGAAATTAGTTTGATGATAAAAGTGCAATTATTTTCTTAAACCTTGGCCAACATTGATTTACAATTCACAAATCAGAGTCATAAATGATCAATCATAATTTATGAAGAAAAAGAAGTTAATTAAATATTTTACTCGAAAAAAGAGTCTATTTTGAAGATCTTGTAATTTTACTGCTGTCAAAGGATTAAGGCAAAATTTGTACAATTTTCGTGAATAATGTAAAATTTATTTCAGTCTGATTAATATTAGTAAATAAATAAATAAATAGAATTCATACTATAATCTATTATTTTCACTCTAAAAATATTAAAATTATATTTCTCTTATGATCCTCTAATTTTTATTGATTTTTATTTATATACAACTAATTTTGTAAATATTTACATGATAAAAAGTATTAAAATGAATTAAAAAGTATTTTTTAATTTATTGATTTATCAGTGAAAAATGTTAATGAATTTTTCAGACGTACATGGAACAATTCTTTTTTATCGAAATTTTATTTCAAAAAAACAAAATGGCTTAAATTTCGAACAAATTATTGTTCGAAAAAATGCAAAATGTTAAAATTTTTAAAAAATTACTATTTATTTCAAATAACAAATAGTTAGAATATTTATTTTAACGAATACAATAATCAATATAGTTATAATATTTATAGTTTTTCTAATAATTAACAATAATTAATTTGGATAATGCTCTGTTAGAAACACGAAAAAATGTTTAATTTCATCTCCCTTAATCTATTATACTCTACATACAAAAAATCAATTTTCATTAAAATCAAAATTTTCGAATTAAATAAACTTTCTTCTAAAATGATATCCAAATGCTTTCATAAACCACCACGATCAAATAAACGTACAATTAAAATAATTATCAATATACATCTGCATAAAAAGAAAAAAAAAACTTTTCTTCAACTTGACCACCATAAAATTCCAACAGGCGAAATTTCCAGACAATTTTGACGATGGAACACGAACGACGCGATAAAAATCAAAAACTTCTGTGTAGACAGTGAAAACGACGTGAATAGCGCCGTCACAGCTCACTAAGATCGTTGATAAAAAGGAAAGTATGGAACAGGTGCATCCAAGAGTAATTTTACAATGAAGATACCATACAACTATACTTCCTAGTATATCTTTTTCACAGAATAAAATGCAATTCTATCGAGCGATCGATCAGTAGAAATACGAGTGGAAATTTATTGCCTCTGGTAAAACTATAAATTCCACTATTTTTAAAAGAATTAGTTGTTAAAAGATTAGTTGATTGCAACTGTCAGTGTGTATCTGGCATTTGTGTTGAATATCCATTAGGAATAAATAGTACATCAATGGCCAAAAATTTGTAATCGTTGATTCATTTACGAGAATCGACGAAACTGGTTGCAAAAGTTAGATTATGTTAACTTCTTAACCTAACTAAAAAATAATGCTTAAAAAATTGTGAAAGTATATTTTTTTTATTTTTTAACGAAATGTTAATGAATAATTGTTTAATTTCGATAGGTTTTATATCGAGCTAGATATGTAAATATTGTTTTAAGATAAAATCGATATTTTCAGTTTTTTTAATTATCAGACAAAGGAAAATTTTAAATTTGATGATAATTCAGAATTTAATGTTGTAAAAAAAAAAAAAAAAGAAATTACCAATTAAAATTTTCAAACGTGAAAAAATATAACTTTGAGGATTGATTTCATTTGAAGAACTTTTTCGAACGAAAAAATTTATAACTTATTATGCTTATACAAATTTTCATTAGATGAATTTCCCTATAAAAGATTGTCGATTGTCAAGTGAATATTAGTATCTATTTTTGCAATATTAATTTTTAATTAAATAATAAAATTAAAGATTGAATATGGCTGTAATAAGTGATTCCAAATT